CTATTGTGAAATTCTTTTTAATGGAAGCCGAAGCTAATCTGCGAAAGAGGTGGTGCCACGATCATAAAGCCTAGACAGTTGATGATTGGAAAGATACCGTGTGGTCCGATCAATCATCATTCGCAATTTTTCCTATAAACGGCCGGGTGTATGTATGCAGAGTCCGGAGAGGAGCCTACGGTCCGAATTGCGTGCGTATCACAGTCAAGCCTGAAATAGCTTCCGTTAATGATTTGAGCAGCTGTGACATGGAATTCAGTTAAGCGTCTCATTCACATTCCCATTGTCACATCACTAGTCCAATTATTGTGAAGTAATGTCTAGTCATCCTCAATGATAAAGTTCTCAAGATGGTTGGCGTATTGCTGCCTAGCACAACCATATTCTAAGATCATAATGCGTCTATACATACAGACAAAAAGGTTCAGTCTTGGTGTGAGGACCATTAGAGTATTATCAGACATCTTTCCTGATCAGTCAGTTATTAGACCTTAGATAATTGAACGCTTATAGGAAGTTTTAAAGCAGAGAGTGAGCAGCAGATTTCCATCTCCAACATCATTGAAGCAATTGTCGCAAGTTTTGGTACAAAAATCGGACAATATTTCCTTCCAATCTAACCAGACAATCTCGAGATCTATTCCACGAAAAATTGCAGGTGTTTTATTTGCAAATGGTGGCCCAATAGCTTATCAATAAATAAGTATTGTATGTATTTAAGGTGTTCGTATTATTTTAACGATGCCTTGTATATCGTAATTAAAACGCATTTTTTTATTGTTGCGGTTTGCGTGAGTCACTAACCTTGTTTTATAAAAAAATTGATGTTGTAGCGTTATTGTGACTACTCCTTGGGAATGTCAAAGTTGATGCAATGTCAAAAAAACTATAACCAGGAAACATACATTTCTTCTGATTAATGACCGACCCCATTATATATCGCACAACATTTGTAATTAATTAACAAAAAAGCGAATAAAATACATGTATACGAGTACGCGTCTTCGTTAAAGTAGATAGGCAAAGAAGCAAGTCGAGATTTTAGGTGTCTGTTAGAAAGCGTGAAAAGATGTCCGAAAAATCGAATTTCATTGCGATATCACGAGCCTCTCGCTATCAAAAACGCACGTATGAACCACCCATCAGAAAGAAAGAGAGAGAGAGAGAGAGTAAAATATATTTCTGGTTCATCAGCATCAAATTTCTAATCGATCTGGCCATATCTATCTGTTTGTGTGTTTGTGTGCATGTGTGTTGTTACAAAAGTTAAGATTTCAAAGTTTAAATTTGGCAGAAAAGCTAGAAGTTCTTGTAATCAGGTTAGTATTGAAAGTGGGGGCTAGATCACCCAGAGGAAACATTCACAGTGAAGCATTCTTTACATGAAAATACAATACATTGTCCTTAATTAAAAACGATTGAACACGCCCACGTCTAAAATATCAAAATGTGGTTGCTTTAATTTTTCATGTTTTTTACTCATTACCCTCAAATTTATTAGAAAGGGCATCGTGTATTGTGCAGATTTTTCACCTAAAAAATGGAAACAGGCGGCCACGATCATCATGTATTACTAAGTATTAAAAATGGTGGTGCTTACGTAAGAATCCATCTCAGTCGAATATAACTTTCTTAGATGTTTTATTAAAATGCGTGTCCGATGGATAGCGCCTCTCCTTAGTAAGAACTATCGGGCCAATCTTGACGTATGAGCGACGTTACGCTTCTATCTACTAGATCTGAGTTAAATGCTTCCTATAAGTAGGCAATAATCTTCGTATGAAAAATAGCTTTGGGAACTTTCGCGAAGTCAAAAACCATTGCATACATTTAATAAACACTACGAAAGTCCGAAAGAGCCCGAAAAAAAGTAAAATGAGTGAAATTGTCGACTTTTTTGCGACATATATTTGGGTATGCATGGGTATGCGTTTTGAATGTGTGTGTATGATAGTAAGCTATTCAATAGATGTGTGCATTAATGGTTTATGGCTATAGTAGAAGTTCTTGTGAGTGTTTCTCCTTGCGCTTCCTTAGATTTATGCTTGCATTTGTGTTCGTGTTTGTAAAAAGGACGAAAATCAGGGAGATTGACGTAAGTCAATCGGTATTGCTGCCTATTTATATTGATTCGCATTCGTTGAAGATTTCCAAATTTTATGCCTACTTAATGATCCAGTCTACCTTTTACCGTAGAATGGTTGTATTGCATAGTCTGAAGATTTATGTCATACATAATTTCACCATTTAATCATTTGATCACCATCGTTATCCCAAAAAGGCAAGGAGGCAGTTGATTTTTAATATTTTGTTAATAAAAGTTTTTGGCCTTTGTTGTAGGCGTGTCCCTTAAAATGTTTACGTAAATTGCAAATTCTTTTGCAAATTTTCACTTTCGCTAACGGGCGACTCTTTACCGCATATACTACAAGCAAGATGGACAGACGAACAGGCGGACATATGTTGGGTGCATTCCAAACTTGAAGTTGGCCAAGAGTTTATATAATTCATAGAAGTTTTAAAGCTCCTTTCTGCGCGTTATTCAAAAAAACAATTAAATCTTGATACACTATAATATCGGGTAGGCCTGGTCAATTTTTTCCAATTTTAGACAAAAAAGTTACAGCATCGCCCAAAGAATTTGCGTTCAAATTTTTATCCATTTATGAATAACGAACAAAAATCAATTTTTTCACGCTTGAAAAACATGCAGATGTTTTCAGTTTACTTAGCACTTTGGGCATATATTTTTACCAGTTTGGTTCATTCTCAAGTCGAATCTGCTTGTTAGCGTTTCTAATGTTTTTGCAAAATTTGACGAGAGATTTGTTTGGAAGTTGGGTTGGAGACCGTATTCTTCGTCAAGTTAACACATCTGTCAAGTGCAATATTGAATAAAAAAAATTTTAAGTTCGTTGCACGTCATCGATCTGACCAAAGCTATGACATCTAGGGTCTTTTAAACTTCGTAAAATGTAATTTCTGCTTCTTTTCTTTTTGTTGTACAATAAAAGTTGTTTTTGTTACAACAAAATTTGCCGATATAACAATAAACTTTACTCTTTAATCTACAGGGTATGATAATAAACATTAAAGCAAACGATAATAAAATACATTGAAATTACAGGGCAGTGCCCATTGTCCCAACATGAACTCGACATCTACCTGTAACAGAGTAATTTACACAGAACTGATTTGTACATGTTGAGACAATGTGCAATAAATGTACACAAAACCCGTATTTCAATAGATCATAAACTTGGCAAATGACTGAAATTAAACAAATTCAAAAATCAATTATTTGGCCTATCTGAGTTAAAAGTATGGCGACATACAATATATAGTACATATTATACCAAAGATCGGTCTTACGTCCTTTTAAAAAGAAGAAAAAACTATATACTATACCATATAACTGTCGTGGCGCTGTGAGCATGTTCTTTAACCCATTTTCGATACCAACCTTCATGGAAGAACTTGCAATCCTTCTGCCAAATCGTAAACTGATAGCTTCATTTTTGGGGCAAGGAGAACGTTTACAACAGACATTACTCCGACGGACGGACGGACATGCTTAAATCGATGCAGAATTTGACGTTGATCAAGCATCCGATTATTGTTTGATTATCTGAATATCGAAAAAATTTTTTAAAAATTTCTCAGGCATTAGATCCAAAGGTCTCCATTAAATTGATGAGCATGTACTAGCAGGTTGTGCTCGTATCCTATATATCTAAGGTTTGAAAATTGAATTTTTTTGTAATCGCCGCAAACACGTCAAGTAGTATAATATACCGCCTTGGTTTGATGCTGGCTATAAAACTTTGAAACTAAGCTAAAATGTATAAATTTCAATATGCTACCAATAATCTTTTTACAAATGGCGCATAACAAATCGACTGAACCTATAAATATATATCTTTATTGTTTACATGGAATTATATTCATACTTTATTTGAAATGACCAACTATCATCCAAAGATTATTAGTGAGATCTACTTTTCATTCAAATTGAAATCGTTTTTCACTTTTTTAATAGGAAATAAGTGGTGATTTTCGATGTCCTTATATTTTTAAAATACCTCGTTTGTTCAGAAATTTTTAAGGGAAAACAAGTAGAAACAGTATAGTCGATAGAGGCGCATCGTTCAATACCCTACACAACCTTGTTTCATACAGTAACGCATTATATGAGAAGAGGTCCGATTCGAACCATTTTCAATAGCGTTCGTATTTACATCGAAACACGTCGACTAAAATAAATTTCATCAAAATATCGTAAAAATGTGCTATCTGAAGTGTAAACAAAAGGACATGAGACTGCGAGACGGACACGGACGTGGTCCTGAATTAATCGATACAATACAAGTTTTACGCACTTTAATGAAATATTTTTATATAAAATATTTTGATAAAAAATTTAATAATTGAATTTATTATTTATCATATTTAAAAAAAAAAAAAAATTAAAACGAAATTGAATTGTGGTAAGGCAATGTTTATTTTACCTTTCCAAGTTGATTGGTTATAGTTTATTTTTATATTCCGAAAATAACTTTCTGTACAGTTTTCGGGAGCGTGTGTCACTTATCATTTTCATTCATCTACAGTTTAGTGTAATTATTCAATTCCAGTAATTTGTCATCTTTTAATTTACGTCGAGTCAAACGCACCTGCGATTACGAAAATTTCAATCTTCAAGTGCCATAACGAAAGAAAATATGTATGTAGCCATTGAACTATGCAACGTCTATTTAAATGCATTTATAAATATTTCTAAGAATTTTATTGTATTACGAGCAGGTGAACGAGCAAGCATTCATGTTTCATGTTTAGTGATGAAGTGTACTTCGCTCAACGAAATAGCAAAGTTTCAAAATCAAATTTTAGTTGATGTTCAACAATAGATGTGTTTTCGCGCATATCGGCTGTTGCACCATTGAAATTTGAAAGACAAATTTTCATATACGCATTGCCTTGAAATCGCCAACAGTTGCAAGATGAGTTTAAGAAATCCCAACCGAGAAACCAAAGATTGTAACAGTGAAGATGAAGTGTCTCAAAGCGAAACCATTGATTCAGGTTGCGTGTCAGACTCGTCGGATTCCTCTTTGGATATTGTGAGTCAATTTGTGAACAAAGAGAGTAATGATGATGAGAGTGAAGAAGAAAATTTAAATCTTGATCGGAAATTCGCCACCAAAGTTATGAGTGATTCTGGTTTTTTCTCGGACGGCCCAAGTAAGGAAACGGAATTAAGTGGCAAAGAATCCGAAAGCGATGAAGGAAAATCTTTATATCATTTAAATGATCCCACGTTAAAAGCAGAACTCAATGAGAAACCGTCAACAAGTTGGAGCGAAGCTTATCAACAAAACGATGATGGTAATACGAAATTGCATCTGGCCTGCGTTTCGTTTGATATAAATATGATTAAAACGCTATTATTTATTGCTCCTCATCCTTGCCTTTATAATACACTTAACTATGATTGTCGCACACCGCTACATTTGGCCACTCTTGCGCAGCGACCAAAAATATTAAGGGCATTATTATTAGCAGGAGCTAGCCCTACTATATGTGATCGTCAAGGTAATACTGCTTTACATCTTGCCTGTAGATCGGGTGTCGAAGAAAGTGTTCTCGCCATAATTGCACCATTTAGTGAAGACGAGGTAGCGGAGTTTTCACGCGACAACATTAATCATAACGTTTCCACTTGCATTTCAAAAGTGTTAGAAATGCGTAATTATAACGGTGAGGGTTGCGTGCATCTCACCGCTAAATTGGGCTTTATAAACATTTTACGTCTCCTCACTTCGCACGGAGCTGACATTAACTCTCGAGAATACAAATCTGGTCGCACACCGTTACATATTGCTATCGAGAGCGGAAACGAATTATTAGCCAATTTTTTGTTAGATGAATGTGAAGAAATTGACTTAGAAGTAAGAACTTTTAGCGGCTTAACACCTTATCAACTGTCATCACAGTTCAGGAGAACAGCATTACAAAATAAGTTAGTAACACTCGGAGCCGAAATCTTGTCAGCATCAGACAGCGATGACGACAGTAATGAAACAGATTCCGATTCAGATTCAGAAACGGACGACGCAACGGATAACGTTACCGAATCTTCTCGTTTCCCCATTTTCACAAATGGCCGTATCGAAATGGCGGACGGTTCAATAGCTGGACCACTCTAAATCAATTATTTCGACGTACTACATTTCAAGGATACAAAGTACTTTTGCTACATTTTTTTTGCAAATTCAATTTTATAACTTGCAAACGAACTCATACTCATAATAATAAATGCATAAGATGTGCCTTCAAAATAAATTATACTTCGGTCATTATGAGCTACTATGCGATTACTTGTGATTCTTTTGAGATATTTTACAAATTTTCTATCAGAAAGATTAAAAAATACTAGCGACAGAAGCGTTTTATTTCATGCGATAAAATATGGCTTTAATGTACTTAGTCTGTTAAGTTGTATTCTCAAATACGCTCTAAATTACTAAAGAAACCAGCAAAAGGAACCGAAAACTTGAATTTGTTTTTATTTGAATTCTTTTTTTGTTCGCAAGTATTTTTTTTTTTTTTTTTTTTGTTTTTTTGGATGGCTAAGGGGAACGTAGAAATCTCCTTTAAGTTAAGCTGATCTCTGCTTCAGCTATATGTTAAAATAAAAGCAGAATTCGAAATGTCTACAAGATTTTATTACGGTAAACGTTACCTATCAAAAAAAACATTTTTTGCCCACTGCGCCTTATTCCTTAGTAAATAGAAGAGCGTTAAATGGATCCTCAACAGGATACTCTGATATGCTGGTACATCGGTGTTTTCCTAACGCAACGCAATTTAAAATAAAGCGTTTAAGTTCAGGTCATGCATTCTTGATTGAATTTCGTAGACTCCTTCTCAAAATAGTCACATATCGCTTATAAATGCTTTGAAAAAAATAAATTATCTTATACATGTTACCCACGTTGCAGTTACAATAAACTGTTCTCAAATAAATTCGATTTAGTGGATGTTGTTGCGTTTTTATTTTAATTAATATTTATACGTAAATATTTTATCACCGTTAGACAAAGCTATTGTACATATTGATGCATTTCCAGCATATTATTTCATCATATTGAACAGAAGTAAAGTACGGCTTTATGCCGCTCTTTTGCGGTAACCAAAGAAATCAATTTTTATTAGGAAAACTGTATGAACGAACTTGCCTCGATATAAAGGGATAAAATTTTACTTCAAACTTTATGCTATTTGACGTTTTGAATTTAGATGTAAATCAAAGTTTATCAAAGTCTTGCTAAAATATCGTTTATGAAGAAGATCTAAGCTGCATGTGCCAGAAAGAATATGCGATTTTTATATGGTTAGATGGGGGGAGACAAGTGATGCGATTCCAATGAAAAGGAAATAAATCAAATAAAGTTTATCTTAATGTTTACGAAATATTTTCTTCTCTCTTTTACATAATCAAGTCAGATATAGGGGGATATTAAAGTGTCTTCTTAAATTCATTCTCATCACTTTTGAGGAAAACAAAATTATTTTAATAAATTTCATGACTTTTTTTCTGCTGCAGTTTAATAACATGTGTGAATGAATCCTGCAGGGCTTTTGATGCTTAATTTTCTTTTCGTACTTGACTTCTCAATAACATGCGTACTCCCTTCCAAACAACCGAACGCTGGATTCATTTACTTTACATGACATTAACTTGTTGCAGTAATTTCCAACAAGAACTTAAAAACTCAAAAAAAAAAAAAAAAAAAAAAACAAAAAAAACAAAAATTGCAAAGCATTAAAAACGAAAAGGAAAGAATAACAAAAAAAAAAAAGTATCCTTTTAAAAATATATATATATTTATATATTGTGCGCGCATGCTTTATATATATATATATATAAAAAAGTCTGTTTTATTTTTAATGTATATGTCATTGTACATACACCGTAATATACACATCAAGCAAATAAATGAGATGGCAACTCCTTTTAAGCACGCAGGCGTGAAACATTATTTTTACATACATTCTTACACTCTGACACCGATTAGAACTTTCTTCTAATAGACTAAAATACTGCGTGTAGATCGTGTATGAACGCGAATGTAAGAGAGCCAAATAGAGACTGAGACTGAGACTAAGGCACTAAGAGATAGATATTCATTTACACAAACCCCGTAAACAATAAATGAATACCATGCACAATACAATCCGTCATGCAGGTGTGAATGATTCATTAATTTCGCGCCTTCAGTTTTTAACGTGCCGTAACAAACGCGCGCGCTCATCACAAGCAACAACATATTACATAAATAAAAAAGGAAAAGAAGAAACTTGCATACTTTTACGATTAGCTAAACTGCTTTACGGGCTGCATATTCATATATGGATCTTTGCCAGCGAACTACTCGAAAGCACATTCATATCTGAATACATAGGGTAACACATATGCAGGCATTGCATTAACATCAAGTGCATGCAGCAAAACATCCAGCAGTAAAGCAAAACGTTCCGTCTGCAGTCCGGTAAACCAGGCAGCCATTCATTTTCTTTGACCGTACACAGATAACGTCTTTATTGTGCAAAGTCATCATCACCTCGAGGCGTTAATTCCATCATAACAATATCGTTTTAACCCTATTTCTCTCTCTCTCTCTCTCTCTCTCTCTCTCTCTCTCGCTCTCAATGTGTTTTTCGATGGCTCTCTTTCTCTCTTTACACTTCGAACGTCTTTCCACCAGCATTTTATCAGAAATTTCTTTGGATACATTACAGCTACAGTAATAGGTTTCATTCGTTTAGCTTAACTCTCAAGATATTGTTGTAGCAACAGTTGTAGTGGCCGACGATTTTTATTCATTCAATTGTAATTGGAAACTAGTGATTTGATTTTTATTAAATTACTTGCTATACATTTGATGATATGAGTTTTTCACTTACTTTACTTTATTATACCCACCACCACCACCGTAAGATAGGGGTTTACTCATTTTGTTTTGTTTTGTTTTTTTTTTTTTTTTTCATAATATATGTAACAACTAATGTATGTAACACATGTATATATATATATATACATTCTTGATCAGCGTGAAATTCTGAATTGATTAAGCTATGTCTGTCCGTCTGGGTGTCTGTGTGGTGTTTGTTGTCGGTCGTCTGCTTTGTCGCGAACATAAAGGTATCAACTTCAAATTCGGTAAAGACATTGGAAGATTTTGCACGCAGGTTGGTGTTGAAAATGGGCCAAATTGGTCAGAGGAGACGCCTGCAATGGAGCGGCCTTGTTTTTCTTAACAAAAATTTGTGGGATTTTTCCTCGTTACTCCGGAATTGTGAAAGTTAGAAGGCTGATAATTTGCCGCATTTACTTTACGAAACACTGTGCTCGTCACGTGCAAAAATGGAAACAATCGGCCATAACAAGGCTCACACAAAGTTACACACACACAAAGTTGTCGAATTTTATTTATTTTTTTTGGGGTTTTTTGCTTATTTATCATAACGCAAACAAGACAGAATGCTTAAAACTATTTTGTACATTTCTCAAATGCGTGTTATTATGTGTATTATCTGCGTAAAAATGGATTAATTCTAAAATGACCGTGGTAGACGTCGCGACCTGGTGGAGTAATTTTTTCTTTTTAATAATACTAGCGACTTGGGTGTCAAATAAAAGAACTTCGAAAGTAGAATGCGAAAAGCATAGTGGTGGGTATGCGAGATTCGACTCCCACCGAATACAATTTTCTTACTTGTTGTTTAGGCACTTATTTGAATTTAATTCTTAAACGCCAACTATACATGCCGTTAGAAACGTGTCTACAAGGAAATCGTGTAAAATTTGATCTTAAAATCTATACAATTAGTGTGAATTATTTTTTCAAACAGACGGCCACTATGATTTTTGGTAAAATGAAGAAAGATTCCGGTCGAAGACTTAACAAATTTGGGATAAATGTTTTTCTGGACACCTCTGTTTAAACGATGCACAGTGCTTTTGTAGCTAAACTTAATTTAGTAGGCGAACAAAACATTCAAATATTTGTGGGGAGTTAGTTAGGACCATAAGATCACACTCTTTTCTGTCAATACTTTTGCTTCTTAATTCCATTGTTTCATCTCATGTAATGCTAAGAAATGCGCTTTACATACCTCATGCAGAATATGCAAAGGAATGTTTTTATGTTTTCATAGCGGAAGAGTGTTGTTCATCGCTGTTCACTATTTGGTCTAATTTTCCTGGTAATAAGTGGGCTTCGATATATCCCCTTTTGGATCGCCTTTTTTGTTTTGTTTTTTGGTATCGTTATTTGCATGAGAAGGCTACTTACTCAGAGGGAGTAAGGGTCGTGGGTGCACATTAAACAGACCAAAGCCTCACAGTGAATGCTGCGGTTGTAATAGACACAACCTCTTATAATTTGTTTCCATTCCTTTGCACAGGCTTTCCAACATCGCCGCGAATTGCCATCGTGATAATATTTTTTTTTTATGACCAATCGCTCAGGAGATATACCCTATGAGCGCGACAGGGCGATGGTCAGAAAGAAGTGGGGAAAAAAAGATAGTGAGTGGCCACAGCCCTTGTATACTGTATAAATTTTTCTTTCGTTTTTGAGGCGACCTAACAATGCATTTGTTTTTGAAAAGTAAGTAACCTACGACGCCTGTAATTAATAAAATAGTATGTGACCATTGACCTCCGGTTTCGCGTTCGCATGTAACTCCCAGAAGATCTGAAGATATCATAAAATGACTCCGAATCGAACTAAACTTGTCAGCCCATATGTTCGCTTAATATTCAAGTTAGAGAAATCGTTCGCGGATTGATAGAAGTTTATTCATCCTAAACCCTAAGCCTGTATATAAGCGATATCATTGTACCTCGTAGGATTCTAACCAGAGCAATGTAACAATAACCAGCTTTTAAATAATTAAATAACATGGAACGTTCAAGTCTTAAGTGAACTTCGTATCTCAAGTGCGTCTTTAATACTTTAGCTTTTTTTAATCGCCAGCGTCGACGCATAATACAATTCTTCGTTTCTTAGAACTTACACAATTTGTGATACAAGGGTATATTGAGTTTGTGCGGATGTATGCAAGTCCAAAAGGACTTGAGGTAGACCCACCTCGTTATATGAGTAATGAATATGTACGATTGCACAGGCCAGTGCCGTCTATATTTCAGAGAGTAGCGTCAGAAACTCTACAATATATATATATAAATATGTATATATAAATATATCCTTGATCAACATTAAATTGTTGCAAATATTGATGTGACTCCAAAAATGAATAAACGCCTACAGTACCACGTCAATTGAGAACTACTCTGTTTTTGCAAAAGCAACAATAGATTGGTTTTTTGTTCGTTACTCGTACAGTACTGCACATAACTGTACAAAAATTTGAACTTAGGCCTGCGCATTTGTGTAGTAAGTGTGATAAACATGCTCCCAGAAGATATCGCGTACAAATTTGCATAATAATTTGAAAATGACCCAGACCGATCAAAGAACAACGATCCCTACAACGCTCACACTCTTGTCCAGCAAAAACTGCAAACATCTTTCCTTTCCGTGCTTTTTGCTTGTAACTCATAAAGTACAACACTTACTAAACACCATCTAAATTTCCATTTTTATTCTGAAAATTGGAAAGATCAGCTACGCCCCCGTAATAGAAAATAAAAAAATTTAGATCTCTTCCTTTTTTCTAGTCTTTCATAGGATAACGGTAATGGGAATAAAAGGTTCGTTCGACCGAATGCTATTTTCTTACTATTGGAGGTCTGCACACAATTTGAGGATTCGTAATTTTCGAATCAAATTATTCAATCTACCCGGACATGAATCCGAGTACAATTTTGCTAAGTATGATTCCACTTCTTCTCCTCTTTATTTATTTATTTATATGTTTACGATATTTAGAATTTTGTTTTGTTTTTGCTGTGTCCTGGACAGTGGCAGCTTGCAAATCGTCATTAATGTTAATATCACAAAGAATATGTTTGCTTCGTCTAATTTTCAATATATATGCTACAAATAGTTGCGGCACGGAATCGGAACGGAATCCTCCAGGTGATCGTTAATGCCATTTTCAATACTCGTATTGTCGAACGTATTTGCAGTACTTAGGGAGCTTCTTTGGCTTGTGCTTTCGAAACTTAACGCATAATTGCATTCAGAATCGAACTCATTATCCTGGTTACTTTCACTATCACCCACTACATCGATATGCAATCGATCATCGTCAACTTCATTATCGGAGTCTGTTAGACGACCTGATTTTCCATGTTTTGTTAAATAATCAACTCTTAAGTCTTCCGTATTTACTTCGATATCCTTCAAGCGGAGCTTACGTGCTTGACGTTCCACGGCTTCGTTGATCCTTGTACGTTTTTCAGCCCTGCAAGAATAGTGAGGAGATGTTTCAATTTTTTATCATTTCTCTTATTTACATTACGTATACACTTACTCTTTTTTTGTCTTCAATTCATTCAAAGGAATCGGTTCACCAGAACAACTTTGCGGATGTGAAGTATGGGCGGGTCGCCCAGGACCTTTTTTTGTGTTTTCGTTCTTACGCCATTTCGCGCGACGATTCTGGAACCAAACCTGCATGTATGTATGATAAAAAGGCAAAAAAAAAAACAAAAATAAATAAATAAAATAAAAATATAAAAGAAATCTTTATACAAATTTTTTTTTTCTTCAGGAATTTTACCGTTAGTTCTGCAACGATAACACTAAATGTTGCAGAATATGTGAAAAATGGCAGTAATTGTTTTAAATATGAACACGTGTGAAAGAGTTTTAACGTCAGCTAAGCATGTAATTTTCATTTTCATTTCACCGTTTTTTTTTTTTTTTTTTTTTTTTTTTTTGCTTCTTTACGCGATAGTATCTTTAAAACACGCTTGTTAGCAACTTGTGCAGCAGACAGTGTACAAAACCGTTCGAGCACCGGGCATAACTAACACAGTAAACATGTAGTTAAAGTGAAATATGCGCTGTTTGAACACGAGAAAGGAAAAAGAAAAGTTTTTATAATCTTTATTGAATCTTTGCTTAGTGGAAGATTGATTTTCACTTTCCTATGAACGTAAGTTTTTTCAGTTATTAAAAGTTTAAAGAGAATCTTTATATCCATTAATTTTATTAAATATTTTTATTGTGTAAAACAATAATAAAATGAGAAAAGTTACGGGCATTGTGTTCTAACGTTGTACGTTTAAGGCTTCAGATTAAAAAATGCAAAAACGTATCACATGAAAATTAAAAACAAAAGACCACCAGGCCACGCTTCAGGGACTCGTTATAATCTAAATTGCCCGAAATATCAGAACTAAGCAATGTAAAATGATGTCAAAAATCAAAAAAAAACATATAAGAAGAACAGTTCATCTTCGCCTGTGCGCCTGTCTTACTCATCGTCTCAAACAGATGCACTCAGTGGCCGGCAGTTTTCGCTCTTTATTTATATGACTTGAAAATTTTTAATACTAATCGGCTCGTTCATGAACGCGGATAGATGGGCACAATTTGATCAATATGAAGTTATCCAATTATTTTAGGGTTTAAGGGTTGCGTCTTTGCTAAGTTACGATTTGCCGCGACATAAAATAAGAAAACAAATTAAGCATTAAAATTAAAAAAAAAAAAAAAAAAACATAAAGCTGCTTGCTGATATAAAGCAGACTAAAAGCCGTTAATTACGATAACAAACCCAAAGAGAAACGCAAACGATTGCTACTAACTCTCTCTCAGTACAAAACACTCAAAGAATGAAATGCCCAACCCAAGTTGCAGGAATTTTGATGGACATTGCGTAATTCCAGTTTTTTTGATATGTCATGGAAAATACTTTCTTGGCAACCTCTCAGAGAAACCTAATTTCATTACTATGTCCTCAATTTATCGCCGCAAAAATCGCCCCAAATATCCCCTCTCCATATACATCATTATATTACATACTATATTAATTATAAAAAAAATTTAACGAGTTACAAATTTATTATTTCGCCTTTTTCCGAGTTTCTTTGCGCACATTTTACGAACGAAACTCTCCTATTTATCGACCTATCTTATGTTATGTGTAATAATTTTGTTTCTATCCGCTTGTATTGAGCTTGTACTTTCTTTCCATTCCCTTTCACCTAAACCGATTTGTGTAAGCAACGCGTTGTTCACATGTAGTCTCCGCTATTCTCCGCTGATTCCGCTTTTTATTTATGCCCGTATTTTATATTTTTCGTTTAGTTTTTCTCATCATTTTGTAACCTTTTAACATATCGTTCAATTATCAAATGCTTTAGCAGACGGCCGATCAAAAGTAAAGATAGGCCGTCGTTTAGCAAAGACAAAAATGCGGTCTACGCACAGAGAGCTAACTTCACGGCAGTACAATTTGAAGAAACTTGATAAATGTATCGTTGTTCCTCCTCTATTCCAATGTTTACCGCCCCTTTTTTGTCTTAACTTTCGCATAAAAGGAGTATATTATTAATATGCGCGCACATTACCGCTAACTTGAAAACGATCTTATAGCTTTCGATGTGAATTCTAGTTGTACCTACAGTTGCCAGTAACAGCCATAGTTTTACAATAGATCAAGTGGACCAAACCTTTAATATTCTACATGTGTATTTTCATGTTTGCTAGATTCTCCTTGTTAATTATTGATATGTCATCAATTTCACTGTTAAGTGAAATTAAACGACGACTGCAGATAAAAAGTTGTTTAGATATCTCCGCTAAATGGAAATGTATTAGCAAGTTAAGAAGGTACTGTCAAAATGTGTGAATGAAAACGCAAAAAAAGCAGCACCAACTGATATAAACGAGTATACCATTAGCGTGGATCTTAAGACAAAAAAAAAAAAAAAAAAAAAGAAACAAAATTATTGCGGACGAATGTACCAAAGTAGGCGAAAAAGTTGTTGCAAGTTACATTGGCAACGTCTGATTGCATCACGCAATTCATAAAAGAAGAATTTAGAAAACTTTTAGGCTTCATCAGCATTCGATTTGATTTGGCCTCTATAGAACTTATAATGGCATTGTGTTGCGCTAAAGAGCGTCTTGCGAACATCATGTGGTATACGTGATACTTCGATAAGAAATCTCCAAAGCTCTTATATAGGCAAGGAATTAGGAATTTACCGAAAGTTCGCAGAAACACCAAAATGACCTCATTGTGTTGTCTTAAGGTTATTTTGGCAGAAAACAATACATATATGCTCGCGTTTGCATTAACACATTATTAAGACCGATTTTTAGTTTTTTTATCCTACACCGATTGTGCATACGTATGTAAAACGCGGAAGAGCTTGAAATAGATGCACCTCTTTATTATATTCATCTATTCAGAATCATTATCTGTTTGTCCGTCCGCCCGTCTGTCCGTTTGATGACTGACCATGTAAATTTGTGTTCAGCGTCCAATTCGCAATTGTTGAGATATTTTGATGAAATTTGATGCAGCGACGTGCTTTGACGCGACGACGAACGCTATTGAAAATGATTTGGATTGATTCACTTTTTCGACCACTCCCCATATAACGTCCAATTATGGAAAAAAATTTCAATTGTCAAAATTTCTTTGTAATAGTATTTAGATATTGCAAATTGGTATGAAAAATTTGGTTCAGCTGAGGCCTTTTTCATAATTATCGTTCCTACGAAAACTGAACCTATTCATAAAAACAATTGAAAACATTGTAGTCGAGCTAGGCCAACTATTACACCGCATTGTCTAACACAATTCTTATTTTTGTCATAGAACGCAAGAATTATACCCGGTTTTAATAGGAACCTGCTGTTATGGGACTCTATATAAAAAATTAGAATGTTCAAATATTATTACTTAGTCAATTTTTTTCGCGAAATTTTGAGGATTGCAATTTTTTCCATATAACCACCAGTTTTGAAAATATGGCGTTATGTGGGGGGGAGTGGTCAAAAAAGTGAATCGGTGCATATCATTTTCAATAGCGTTGCCGTCGGGGCAAAAGACACCAGCGCACGAAATTTCATCAAAATATCTCAACAATTGTCGATCTGCAGTTTGAACACAAATTTACATGGACAGATATCAGACGAACAGACAGGCTTAGATCAACTCAGAAAACGATTCTGGATCAATCGGTATAACAATAGATGGGCCTATTTTAAGCGCTTCTGCGTGTTACATATATCCGCACAAACTTCATAAACATTGTACCACAAGCGGTATAGGGTATAACAAGGTATACGTTTTTAATCTTTCATGGGTTCATAGTAGTAAATTTCCATATAAATCGATTATGTTGAATTTGCATCCCGTAGGTGTGTTTTTTAGATGCCGGCGCATATAAGGATTCCTCAAATATGCGAGCTTTTATGTAAAGTATGCCTTTGGATGAAAATAATGTGTAACTGCTTGTTGTTGTTATTACTAAAACGAGCGAATAACTGGATAAGGCGGAGTGATCTAAAGTATCTAATAGACGGCCTTTCCCGCCTATAAAGTTCTTACCTTTTCTTTTCCTTTTAATGTAAATTCATTGGCACTACTATGGAAGGCGATTTAATGTTTATTCCATTACAATATGTAAAACATACATAACGGGCATTGGTTTACGCCAACTCGGGTCGCCCAACTAATTCTCATTCGTAAAGATTGCATCCAGAGATGACAAATTCAGCTATGACGGCTTGCACTAAAATAATTTCATTGCTCATGGCACACTGAACCTCTCTAAGGCTATATATCTTCAATTGTAAATTTTTTTATTTAAAGTTTTGTGCGCTATATCATTGATTTAGCACATCGATGGAGAGAAAGATATTACTTTAATCAATTCATCTTTACACGCTGAATAAAGATATTTCATAAGGTCAATGAAGAGGAGAACTCTTTATAAAAGCGTTCTCTTTTTCCCTTGCTTTCTTTGCCTCTTTTTTCTCTTTCCCATTCTATCTTATCCTACTCCTTCTTTAGCCGGTTTTATTCCACTGCATAATAATTAAGCGGCGATAATATGGTGACAACTTTTTCAAATTTTTCTCGGTCAACCCTTCCCCTTTCCTCAAGTCCGCGGGAAAATGTGAACAAATTGAGACGCATAAGAAGCGTATATTACAATTTGCTCAAGAAGTAATTTTCGTAGGAAACAATTATTAAAACTTGTGAACTTTTTTATTGATTTCATAAAGCATTTATGCACTGTACGAATAGCGTTTTGGGTAAATGGCATAACCTTGAATTTCCTCCTTAATTGGCGTAGTTGGACGTGAGCCTGTTGGCCTAAACGGTAGAATTTCAAAAACCTCAAAAACCCTCAAGCAAAAAGTCAATGACAATAATTCGCACAACATTGACGGTCAACGCTGATCATGAAAGGGGGAAATTACTCGACTCTCGAAATGCATCGTGTAGTAAATTGAAATGTTCCTTCGGTTGTATGGCACGTGACGTCGTCTTGTCCTAGTTGAAATATCGGTATTCGCTTGTCTTCTTTCTTGTTCCATTGTCTTTGCTTGTGGAGCTTCATCTTTATAAATAGTAAGATGTTCTCTTTTGTTTTCCTTTCGGCAGCATTCGACTACGCTTTGATGTTAATATGAATTACATA